TAATTTGTCCCACAAAAATTATTTTTTGCAGAATTTTGAATTCATTTTTGAATTCAGAACCATTTTTAAGTATAAAATTTTAAAAAAAAACAGTAACGGTCAAAATGACCGCTTTGGGCATTCCAGGTCATGAAATTTTCCGAGCGTTCTAGTGTTAAAGTGACTGTCGCTTATAAGTGTGTGCACTCTTTTACGAGGTCGTTTACCCCTTGAGACTACATTTGTATATTCTGATGTAGTTTTGATCGATTTTGACTATGAGTGTTTCATTATTTTCATTTTCGATGAAAATAGCCAAAATAGATAGATCATGTCAGCTAGTCTAGGTTTTCACCAGATTATTGAACTTGTGGTGAGAAAACTCACATTGCCACAAAAATCAGTGGAGTCTATAACCTGTGCACTGCGGGAAAACCTCATGTGCCTTAAACCTCACCAAAGAGCACTTTTTTTCGCAGTGTATTTCCATTTTCTTCGACAATTTGAGAGGTACAGATATCTTGGGATAATTTCTATCATGCTTGAATCATGGTAGGTAGATGAAGATCTAGATTCCATCTGAAGATCCAGATTCCAGACTCTCGTTCACATTTCTATAAGAATGTGGAGGAGAGTTCAATGATTCGAAACAATCTACGAGAGTTGAATATCCATTCTTTTTAATCTCCGAGATTTTGTCTGTTGAGATATGTCATAGTAAACTGAAAATTTTAACGCAGTTTACTTTTATTTTTTATTCGACTAATATCGATCTCGTTTCGTTTATTTTTTAAAAATTCCTTGTCGCTGTAATCACACGAATAAAAACAGAAAAATCAGAGAAAATGAACAAGAACTAGCTGAATGTTTTTGAGTGTGAGTAGAAAAATATAGTCACCATAAAGATTTTGCGAAGTTATTAAAAATTATATAAATATTCGTAATTGCAAGAAGGTAAGATCGTGTGTATAAAAAAAGTTATTTAGCGAAAGACAGAAAATTAATTAAGAAAAAAATATAATGTCATACTGGTCTATATAAACAGCAGTAAATATTTTAAATTAAAAACAGAATAGTAACAATGTTAGATAACAAGACGAAGTACAACTTTGTTGTATGACAACTTTTAGATAAGACTATCCAGATAAAAGGACAATCAAAAATAGCAAAAAAAGAAAAATAATAATAATAACAGAAAAATTCAACTAAAGCTATATTGATTTAAACAAAAGAGAAAGAAAATGAATTGTTTCCTTTTGATATAAATCGAATAATATGAACTTAAAAGTTAGATAACTCACGTATCTTTTATTAATGAATTTTGTTCGACGAATATCTGAGAACTATACAAGACAAACACTAAATAGAACAGTAGATAGACAAGAATACATACTTTGTTGCTTTGAGAAGTTCTTCTAATCGTTTACGATTATCAATCATTCCATGTAACAATTCATCATGTTCACGTTGTAAAGCATACAATAGTTGAACACGTCTACAATAATATACGATTCAAAACTAGTCATGTATTCTGTAATTCTAAGCGAAACCAGTTTTTCCTCAAATTTGGGCGAACAACGTCTTTAATTCGTTTGTGCCCGACTCAACAGTAGTCCTTATAAATGATTTTGACCCGACACTGTGTAGAACATATTCCTATCCTGTTCTATGTATTATTATATCTCTCTTTTTGGAAAAATTACTAAACAAATTTAGCTGTGAAGACTGTTTTAGTGAATATTTTATTTTCATGTGAAAAGTGCACTTGCAGGTGGGAGTCCATAAAATTCGATATCCTTAACACTAGATATATCATGGAAGCCACAATGAAAGTTCTTTAATGCTCAGAAAAATTTGAGGACAAACGAATTAATAGCAATGCGATTTAACATTAGAACCTCCTAAGAAATGATCATATAATAAATTATAAAACATATTTCCTCTTTGTACATACTCTGTTCGTATTGTTTCATCGTCACTGAACGAAGATGCTATAGTAGGTGGATCATCATTTAAATGAAACACGAAATTATGACCACCATATCCAGACTAAGAAAAAGAAAAAAAAAATACGACATTTCAAAAAAACAAATTTCCGAAGACAATTTTATTCATAACGTACGTCTTTTGTAGATTCTTGAGGCGGTTCATACGGTCGAAATAAATGAACAGATTTGCTAAAAATCAAAAAAATCAAAAGATTTCAAATTCAATATAACAAAGAAAGAAAGAATTTTGAAATACTAGAGGAAAAACAATTATTTTCCTAATAATGTGATAACCAAGATTAACTGAGCATGATACTCTCAAAAGTGTTGATTAGAAAAGAATTCGCTTAGAATCAAGCGTTAAAATTGATATTGTTAAAGCGGTAAGACAAGTCTCCAAAGGTGTCATAATTAAATGTTAAATTGCTGCTGCATTATCCGTTAAATCACACGGAAAAAAAAGAAATTTATTAAGTAATGATGTAAAGAGTAGTATTTTTCTGTCGAGTGTCGATGATATAGATCTATTACCTACTAGAACAGTATGAATGTATAAAAATTAATATATACACTTCAATATTCCCAAAAGTATTATTGCGCGATTATTCCATGCTGCTGATTTTAGTAAGTAGACTATAATGTTAAATACTTGCCGGAAAATAGGATTCTCGTTTAGTCTGGAATAATATAGTTAAATACATAGACAACTTATGTTATTTTTGTTTTTAAATTATTTTCTTACTTTTGATCTTGCACTTTCAACATATCACTTAATTTAGCATTATTTCGACACTCGAGGTCAATTAATTCTTGTAAAAGTCTAAAATAAGTTAACGATAAATTTTACTATTTTGTCTTTTCAAACAGAAAAAATTCATACTTTTTACTCGTTTCAACTTCTTTTATGTATGAAAATTTCAATCGTTCTAATTCATCATTCACTTCAAGATGTGAAAATGATGATGTACGTCTTGATAACATTGCATCTCCTGATACAAGATTAACAGCAGGCAAAAAATCTTAGAATCAAAGAAATATCTTCATTTAATTATATCAATATAAAAAACCCAACAACTTTATAATTAAAATACCTGGTCGAATGTAACCAACCATGACTTCAACTGCACGTCGGACAAGATTATCGAGTGCAAACAAAACATGAGGAACTAAATTTGCATTTAATAAAACAGAATTTACCTGAAATTAAAGAGAAAATGGTTAATGTAAGAATAAAAAATTAAAGTATTATTAATAACATACCGCTTTAATAAAACAATAACATGCTCTTTCTAAATCTGCTCGTCGATCACTATCCATCTGTGTACTCTCGAAAATTGTATTTATTGCTAATTGCAATGGTTTTTCAATTAATTTATCTAGATATTCAATTATTGCAGGTAATAAAATATGAAGTGTATCCTACAAAATAGAATAAGATGTAAAAATAATTTCTATTTATTCTTATTGTTAGATCTACATACGATTTGAATTCCTTCTTCTGGGTCACTTTTTTCTTCAATAAGCGACATCCATTGATCAAGTAACTAAATAAATGATATAAATCATCGTAAACCATAATCAATAAGAAGTCTGAAACAAAAAAAAAAAAATTTACCGTATCTTTTTGACTTTCTAAATATTCAACTAATTCTTGTCTTCGGTTTTCTTCAACCGATATGGCTGATGCTAAACTTCTATCAGGACTATAAATAAAAATGTCAGCGTAATTTACTAATCATTTTATAAATTTATATTCGACTTTACCTTATAGAAAATATATCACTATCACTAACTGAATGATAATATTCTGGATGATAGTCAAATCCGCCTAAGTCAAAACTAGAAAAATAAAAAAATTGAAATATAACTATCATTGTTCTAGAGTATATTCCTTACAAAAATGTAAAATATTAAGACAAATACATTGGCTACTCGCATACAATAAATCAAATGTACTACATTCTTTTCACATGCATGAGAAAAGGAGAGCGAATTATCCTCACGTTTGGCTATCTATTATAAACTTTAGATAACTAGATAATTTTTGCGAAATATTGTTTTTTTTTAAAGTAGTTATCTTTTTGATAATATTTTGTGCATCATTGAATTCTTACTTTAAATCTGTTAACAAGTTTTCACGTCTTATATAGAAGATATAGCATCTTGGCAAAGAAAAAGAGGTATAATTGTAACCATATTCATTGAAGCATCTTTTATTTGCCAGAATGAAAAGACATAAACATGTTAACTAACAGGTGGCTCATATATAATGGGCAGTTTCATAATTTACTTATATCTCCATCAAAGTTTGTCTCCAAGACCTTTGTTTTTCAGTAAAAGTACCGTGATGACATTCTCTACAAGAAATGTATTCAATATTTTATTATAAAATATGAAAATGGAATATTATACAAAAAATACGAAAGAGCTCTAAAGTGAGCAACCGAATAAAGTATTTCTCAATTAACTAAAATTTTATTTTTAAATGATAAGGATGCAGAAATCAAGTGCATCATCTGATAGTGTGCTCTTCTCGTATATTATGAAGTTTATTTAAATCTAATTTTATTGAAACCTTGTAGTTGACTGAGTGTCGTACTTTCTTTCTCTAATGGAGATGTAAGTCAATTATATATGGACTACTCATTAAATCTATAATTCTAGTTCTGATAGTTAGATTTGGTAATGTCTACCACTCGGTAAGAGGTTTATCTATCTAAATATTTATATTTCGTATTAGCAACCTCTTGCTATGCGTTTATCCTTAGAAAGAAATAGCTAAAAAAAGAATATTAAAGTTTCTTTTTAATCGAACAATTTTTTACCTTTTCGGCACTGGACTTGCCGGAGATCTATAACAAGAAAGACACATTTCAACGCATGGAGTATATGATGAAAGTAACAAATTATTAGTTGTACGCTCAAATACACATAATAAATTAGCAATAAACGGGACAAATGATATTGAGTGTTAACTTATCGAGAAATACCTGTCGTTTGCCATACTATTTGAATCGATGATTTGACTTTTCTCTGAAATGTAAAATATATTTTCCTTTTTGATGTATGATAAATCGCACAAAACCGTACCTCCCACATTTAAAGTTCGTCCTTTATATCTAGAAAAATAAGAAAAAATCAATAAAAATTTAAAGAATTAGTACAGTAGAGTTATAGAGTACCTGACAAAGGGATGTTTTAATAATTCTTTGGCACTAGAACGTTTTGCGGGATTTTGCTCAAAGCATCTAAAAAATAATTACAGATAAAAGTATAAACAATAAAATAAATTAATCACATCATCTTCCTTTACTTATTCAAAAAATCTTTTGCTTCATTAGATAAGTGGGATGGAATTTCTGGTGGTTGTTTTTCTGTGCCCAATTTTAACATTAAAACACAACTATTTGCAACTTTATGAAATGGAATTTTCCCTGTTGCCATTTCGATAACAGTACAGCCAACGGCTGAAATATAATAAAAACAATGGAAAATTTTTAAGGATAGCGCGTACACACGGATATTAGATGATAAATGCTTTTAATAGGGATATATTGACTACTTGAAGTCAAACAAATATTAATATAATGAATATATAACTTACACCAAATATCGACCTAAACAAAAGAAAATGTTTGACAATCCAGTACACAAAACTTAGTATTTTTCAACAATTCGCACTTACTTCAGGTCCATAGCCTTTCGGAGCTACGCATACAACATCCGGTGACATGTAATTCAAAGTTCCTGAAAACAGTACAAATCATATAATATTTTTACTATTATTGTTGTCATGTAAGAATTCTAATATTTACCCACACTATCTTCGTTCGCCAGATGTAGACCGGCTAAACGTTTTGAAGTTCCAAAATCGGCTATTTTTAATTCTCTAAAAAATAAAGTATCAAAATTATTTTTTACTTATATAAAGAAATCTAAGCTCACCCTCTTGAATTAACCAACATATTTGCTCCCTTAATATCTCTATGTAATATTCGATTTTCATGCAAATACATCAAACCCTCCAATATTTGATGAGTATAATTTCGAATTGTTTTTTCATTAAAATGACCGAATTTTGAGATTAATTTTGTTAAACTACCACCATCAACATATTCCATAATAATTTGAAAACAAGGTGGTTTTTTTGTACGATCAATATTTGTCCCATAATACGAAACAATATGACGATGTTTTAATGACGATAAAATTTTAATTTCGTTTTGTAATACATCGACATAACTAATAGGAAAAAGACAGTTGCTAAAGTTAGAATAAGGCAGAGAATATACAATTACCCTGGATATCTCATTGATATTTCTTTAACCGCATATTTCATCAATGAGTCTGTATCTTCTGCTTTAAACACACGACCTATTTAATAATTACAATAAAGAAATGATCACAAAAAACAATTATCTAACGTTACCATATGTGCCTTGACCCAAAGATATTCTATTTCCATATTGATCTTTTTCAAATTCTAACTAGAAACAACAAAGTCAATTACAGAAGCAAGGTCCGCTATAAACAGTTCATTTTCTCTCACCAGCTTACATGCAGTTCCTGCTTTGTCTCAGTATCATCTGTTTCTGGTGGAGATTTTCCCATTTTTTCGTTGAATCTATAACAAATTTTTTCTCTTCTTAATCATTAGATTTAAATATACAAAAGTGTTCACACGTACGCCATACGTCGGTCAACTGATGAGAAATAAATTTGTAATTCAAGTAAAGAAAATGGTTCCGCATTCTCATATGCATAAAGAAACACTGAACGTGCATCACGTTTTACATTTCTAAACAAGAAAACGTTACAAGTGTTAGATATGATTATTTTTTTAATAAATAAGTATTAACATACATTATCGAACGTATTGATTGCATATCAATTACTTTAATACGATTTTTAGCTTCTGGTATTTCTGATATTGCTTGTCCATTGTTCGATTTATCAAGTATACGAATAACAAGTGTCTCTGGATCTGTTTGAAAATTCAACTGCAAATAAGCTTCAAGAAAGACGTGTGTTTGTAGAACGCCACTTTTTTTCTCATAATTATCACACACAAGAATCTAAAATAAGAATACTGGATAATTAATTAATTTCAAAAAAGCAAATGTACAAACATATAGACATTACATACTGGTATACTAGACGGTAAATCATTTGGCGTTGATTGAACAGATGAAACTGCGTCTTCAAAAAATTCGATCCAAAAACTAAATGATTCCTCAGTAGCTTCACTAGAACTAGTTGTATCTGTTGTTTGAGGAGAGTCCGGTTGAGATTTCATGTTATCATTTATTTTATTTTGTGGTTTTGACTGTTTATCTCTGACTATTATTGCATCATGTAGTAATTTTAGATTAAAGAATGTTGATTTCATATACCAAATAGGTGGATTTAATAAATACATGTGTAATGCTGCTTGATTTGCTTTAACCCACTCTCGTTGAACAACATGTAATTCAAAATAAGTGGCAACATCCCAATAATCAACCAAATCTTTGAAAGCCCCTTTTTTGCCCAATAATGCGTTCAGTTTTATAACTAATATAAAAAACAAAATAAAATTACTTCACTGTGAACATTTACAGAGATATTTGAACACTCACTTATTTTATAAGCTTCGTTACTAGTCTTTGGATCTTCTCCAGAGATACATAACAAAGTTAACAAATTGATTCCGGCACTAAACAACACACACATAAAGTATATTTATAAGTCAATAAATATTTTTTCTTACTAGATATTGGGACCTGCAGCGAAGCCTTTTCTATACCTAAAACAACGAAATATGATACAAAAATTTCTATAAAGATATCAGCAATCTATGCAGCAGATCTGCTACTATAAAGTATGTTCGACTTAACACTAGAACGCCCGTAGTGGTCATTTTGACCGTTTTGTGATTTTTATCCTTAATAAAACAAACTGCATACAATTTATTTAAAAATAAATTATGTCATAACTTTTAATTTGTCCCACAAAAATTATTTTTTGCAGAATTTTTAATTCATTTTTGAATTCAGAACCATTTTTAAGTATAAAATTTTAAAAAAAAACAGTAACGGCCAAAATGACCGCTTTGGGCATTCTAGGTCATGAAAATTTCCGAGCGTTCTAGTGTTAAGAATCAATGCACAAGACATATATCCTACTGCAGTAGAAGCATGCTCAATGACCATCTCAGATTTTTCTCAAACCAGTTTCATTTGGCAAAGCTAAGTGAAAAACTTATAAATTCAACGTTTTTCCGTTTCAGAACTTGTCCTTTTGGAGATATCATTTTTTCCCCCGAAGTACCGAGTCGAATATGCTCAAGGGCAAAAAAAGTAAACAGTTTTTTTCTTGTGAATGGTAAGAGATAAAGACAAAATACATTTAAGTTATTTAGTGCTGCATGTCTACTATAGTGAGATATATTCAAATTACGCAGACTGTTAACAAATACTATGTTTTTTTAATGAATCTAACTGTTTAGCTTGTTTTATTGCAATCAGATCTTTTTCATCCATGTCACTGTCACTTGATTCATCGGCCTCAACGGCATATATTGGTTTATAATGAATAGCTCTTCATGGGCAAGTCAATGGTGTGACTATTGAAGTTGTTGCAGGAAATTTGTCGGTTGTCCCTTTTTTTTACTGAGAAACTGAACTGAGTTTCTGAGTCACCAGAGCGTAAATTTTTCTATCGCCCAATCAGAAAAGTTCAGTAAAACCAGTTTCTCAGTAAAAAAAGGGACAACCAATTTGTCTGTAATTGGTTTTAATGATCCTTGATCGCATTTACTGTTGTGATGCTTGCTTTGGATTGTGCTGGTAGAATATGAGCAGAGATAGAACTTTTTTTTACACAAAATTTTGATCTGATACTGGACCTACAGAACGATTAAAAAGGGCTAAGAATCAATGTTTTTATCTATACCTGATTGGTTAGTAAATATTGAGATGGCTAGATTCTTTTGATAAATTCTTCTGGGGACATCTTTCAGCTAGTGGGCAGACAACGGAGTTCAAATCCCGGCAACGGCGGTCGCGTGATAGTCTTGGACAAGCTATCTAATGCTCACTGTCTCGGTACCTTTGGACACAGATGCAAGGGGGTAACCCGATTTCAGTGCCATTGGACTGGAGAGATGAGAGTGAAAGTTTAAAAAAAGATGGTCAAATGATCTTCAAACTCAAACGTTTTAATACCAAATCAACCAGGTAACATTTGCATTGTTACTTCTTTTTATAATTTTATCGAACTATGGATAAGCTTGATGAAATTGCTCAAGTACTGAAAAGCCAGTGATGAGGGTATCGAGCTCCGTTTGAGAACATCTGATCAATGCTAGTATCTAAGTTTTTTGTTATTAATTTAACCAAAAGTAGACAGGGTGTCAGAAGTAGAGCTATCTGAACGAGAACGGTGTTTTCTGAAATCTATGTTTACCTAAGGAATCTTTCATTGTGAAAGAACCAACAAACAAACTCATACCTCTCTTGCCAAAATACTGACTTTATCCTTTCCTTAATTGTTGAGGCAAATCTTCTGTCCCAATCAACTGTTAATAATGCCATTTGATTACCCATGCTGTTTAACATATTTGTTTCTTTGTTTTATTTTGTATTGTGTTGAGTAGCTCTGATTTTATGTCGCATAGATTCCAGGATATTATCCCGTGCCTGATTGACTGACGGCAAATATAGTATAATCACCAAAATCATTTGCTGTTCATTAGGATAAATGCCTTCAAGGATATAACACAATTTTCTGTCACTCATCGGTTGTATATCAACATCCATACAATGGTTCTTATACTGTTGTATGACATGACTTCCGGCTAGTCGAACCCAACAAGGATTGTCAAAATATCATCGTTATAAAGCTTTGCATTTCTTGATCCCCAGGGTATAGAAATAAGCATATTGATTTCTAATAAACAAGATAAATAATATTCAATTAATTTTGGGTCTAAACGTCGACGATGTAATTGGTCTAAAAAATGGAGAAGAATGCTATAGAATTTGGATTCTTTTCTTCTGAACTATTCATAAACTTACTGTTTCTCTTCGGGATGTAAAAGGGGTATCGGCAAATTTTAACCATTCTGATTCTTTTATAGCATGTGCTATGTATCCAAATTTTTCGATTATTTCATCAGAAGTTAAACTCCAGCTGTCTGGAGTTATAGCCAACAAACGTACCTTTTCTTGATAATGGTATCGTTTTTCTCCATATGCTTTAATACATATGGACTAAATAGGAAAGCAATCGATCACTTACACCGGAAGAAGTTGTTGTTGGAGATGGATTTTCACAGAGAGCTGTATTTAAACCAGCTAAATTCACTAACATATCAGCTTGTCCGGGAGCTATTGTGTTCGCAATTTTTGCTGTGAGTCCAGCAACTGCTGACCTTAGTTTAGCTGTTAATCGGTGAACAGCTCCGGGAGCTTGAGGTTGAAATGATGTGCTTATCTGGCTTTTCAGTGGACTTTACTCTAATTTTGTGTTGTATTAGCATTTCGACGATCAAACTGTGGATCAACTTCAAACTAATGTACATCAGAAATAGTCGCCAGAGAATCAGTTGTATCAGCTGTCTCTTTACCATGTTCTTATAAGGCTTTTCCATATGTATCACATAATCAACCCCAAGAGAAAACTTTGAATTTTTTGAAGTAGATAAATCGAAGCAATACACCATTTTGACTTTTCTTCTTTTTCTTGTTTTTTTAAATGCTTTGCATTATTACCACTTTGCTGTTGTTCTTCATGTGAGCAGTGATTTGGTATAAACCAGGCAAGTCCATAATTTTTTCGGCGCCTCGGGCAAATGTTAAAATTGGTTTGTTCCGTATCGATAAGACAAGAAAGAAGGCTACATATATGACTGGCTTCGGAAATTTGATATAAAGGTTTATTTTGTCTTGTGTGAACTCCATAATTAAGTAAATATTCACCAACATCATCTTGCAGCTTAGATGACATCACAAACGAAAGCAGCCAGTCATCATAGTCTAAAAATTATAGAGAGAGAGAGAGAGAGATAAGGATAGAACAGAAAGAAGCAAAGCACAAAAGAACACTACACAGTTGATAGAATCGAACACTTGAACTTTGAATTCAAATGCAAAGAATTTACTTTTGGACTAAAT